TCCTTGCTCGGGCCCCGGGGCTTCAGCCCCGCCTAGCCCTATGGTTAAAACGGCCCTGTATGCAGTGCTGGGTGGATTACTAAAATTGTAGTCTGTTACGGTTTGTAACGTAATTTATTGGATTACTCATATTAGGGAATGTACTTTTAGATTACTTTTAGATTACTAGAATATATCCCATTCTTTGTTGTCAGCATCATGAAGTGTGTTAAATATTACATTATGCCAGAGATTCATGAATGAGTGAATAAATGAGTTGATGAAAAGCTGGAAGACTTTCCAAATGTATAAAAGCGGTAGAGTTCTAGAAAGGAACATTTAAGAGAGAGAGAGCCATTTTTTTTAGGGCAAATCAAATGATGAATGATTTACTGCCATTGTGTGAATAATATATAATCATGTAATCTATAAAAAAGTAACTGTAATCTTATTCTGAGCATTTTAAAATGTGATCTAATTACAAGTACTTAATTTTTGGGATCTGATTATATAATCCGGATTACATGTTATATTAGTGCTGCACAATTAATCGAATGTCTAATCACGATTACTATTATTACATAATCGTTCAAAGTCCACTTATGTTATTCTGTGTGCTTAAGATACACTTTCTACAGCTTATCTTAAGGGTTTTTCTATTGTTTTAATTTTAGTTGTAGTGTAACATTATAATACCATGCATATTTTTACTTTTATTATTAATTTTTAAAGAAGAAGCCAATGTATAGTTGATATTTGAGGTTTAATAGAAAAGCAGTTAGAGAGTCTTCATCTTATTTTCATCTAAATATATGGCATGCAGTTGCATCAAACTATTTTTTTGGTGTAAATGTAATGTATTTTGAAGTACTAGTTTCATCCGTGCTCTATCAGGTCTGTTTGTGATATTTGCCTTAAACTGATTTCTAGGACACATTTTAACTTTATGAAGGGTGATATTTTCCTAAACTTATTAAATGTACGTGTCATCACTTACGTCAAATTCTTAATTTTATCAATACGTTGAGTTAGAATAATAAGACACTGTATGGTTGTTTCCATTCAAATGAAATCAGTATCAACAAGCTCCATCTTTCCACTAGGGATGTGCGCGACGACTAATTTGACTGACGTTTAAATGCGTTATTTGTTCAGTGAAATTATCAACGTGGTCTGGTGAAAGACAGGACCTGAGGCGATTAACAATAAAACTCCTGCACTTGAAAAAACGCGCTCGGCAGGAACTGAAGTCGCAGGCACGCAGAGATAACGAAAACCAAGCCGATAGATTCAGAAAGCGCCTGGACATCCCACACCACCACCGAAGCGGGTGTTCGTTAGAGGAACAGACGGCGCGGAC